GTGAAGTTTGGCGACAGGAACATCAAGGTGTGGGGCTGTTTTTCCAGCATGCTTCATATAAGTAAATGAAGGATGTGTGGGGGAATGAGACTCTTGATAAGAATCTGCTGGTTAAAGACTGTTTATGGGGAAGAGGGGGCCAAAACTCCCAGCAATGCATAGTTTTTCATCTTGAAGCTGTCGTCACCAACAAAGGCTTCTGGATAAATTTCAGTAACCATGTTCAACACTTACACATCATTTTCTGACATTAGATTTATTTGCATGTGTGGCGTGGATGGGCTGTTACTGACATCTGTTAGGATTTCATGACAGTAACACTGTTACAAATATTTACTTAAAGAAACGAGTGACATTTTCTATACTTATTTTACCCGCTTGTTCGTGTTGTACTTGAATTCCTGTGGTTTTGTTCACCTGCAAACGATGAATATCTACCTCTTCTATCAGTTATACTAAAACGATAAAGTATACATTGGAATTCGTGGGGAGCCCTTGTGAGCAAAATCTTTTTTTTTCCTTCTGGCGAAGCTAAAATGCCTTTAAATTGGATATTTTTAATGCTGTTCACCTGAGCAGAAGTGTCTTCCTGTGACTTTCATGGCTGTGTTTTCTGAAGCACAGTTTCCATTCAGTGTGACTTTGGTAGACTGGTTCAGTAATGACCAAATCAATCATATTTCATTTAGGAAAACGTAGAAAGGTTTTTCTTTTTTTTTTGGTCAATTTTATACCAATTTATAAAACTACGACTAACATGTTTGATGTAAAAAATGTTGAAAAATAACTATTGTAAGTGGCATGAGGTGATTGCATGTGTAAGATAGAATGATAAGAATAACTGCTGTGTATCAAACTGTTAAAACCCCAATTCAAAAGAAAAAGGACATGTTCGGTGACGGTGAAGTATAGGCGAGGTACGGTAAACGTCACACGTGAAACAAACATAATGATGAAATGAAAGCGAGACATATAAATGCCACTTATTTTTATTTTCTAAGATGAATATAAGAGATAAAAAACACAGATGTTAATAAACGCTGTACGCGTCCTGATATTTGGACAAAGCTTTGTTCTGATTGGCCGACCCATTAAGGAAGATATCTGAATATGGGTAATAGCTTCATCTTTTTCTGTTTTACATTCAATTTAACCTACAGAAACTACAGTAGTCTATTTGCAGTGTTTTGGGTTTTTTACAGGGAGGGGTTACAGTTTATAAATCCTAAAGACAAAAGTAAGTTTCTGAATGGAAGTGATTTTAATCTTAATTTAATCTAATTTAATTTTCAAGACAGAGTGGGGACTTTGCTCGCACTTAATAATAATGCATAATAGTGTCATACTAAGCATTATCGAGGTATTAGCAAGAGCTTAATTCACCTTTTACATTGCATTACACCGTATTTATAAATACAGCTATATTATTATGAATATGATCATGACTGATTATGATTATTGCTAGCAGAGATGTAGTATCAGTGATGGTGTACACGGTGTCAGTATACAAAACCACATACTAGGATTAATTACATATAAAAAATAAGTACTTGCTAATAGGTTAATGCTTAATAGTGTGACACTATAAAGTGCTACTGGAGCTTCACATTCATTTATCGTGTTTTGTTTCTTCAAATTCTATTGATGGAATACATGGATTAGGAATTTTTATTTCTTCAGCATTATGACAATTTTTGCCAATTTGGATTTCCTTTCTAAGAACTATAACCGACAGCATAGACAAAATCCCATTATGATCGATTAGCTACAATTATCAACACTTTAATGAACCTATACCAAGTTCAAACCGACACTTGTGTAATCGTCCCCACTGTATTCACTGATTTGAGAGGTTGTAATCACAGAGTTGTGGTTGTAATTAGTAAAAATAAATAAATATGAGTAAACTTTGAATGCAGCTCTCAGTATATTTGTGAAAACGTCAATCAACACATTTGTGAATATTTTTTCTGTATATCATAAAAATTTATGAAAATATTTTTCAAGTGAAAATGTCAGAATACAAGATCATTTTTTCTACACTTTTTATTCTTCAAGCTCTCACATTTCCAGCACATTTACCTTCAGGCTCTGCGGTGCCTTGAGGCCACCCTCGTGAAATCTATCATTGATTGTTTTGTCAAAGACATTCACACCATTGGCCTGCTGGTGTGAATGCCAGTATCCAAGACATTTTTGTGTAGAGCTCTTCCAGTGCTCATCCTGTTCCTCCTTGAATAAAGAAGCAGATAATGGTCCCGTTGATGCGTTAGGACCTGTCCAGTTCTCTGGCTGTCTCCTGCAATTTCCTTCATAATCTTGAGCAAACCTTCTGGCT